GGAGAAAATTCTCCCTGTGCTTCTGCTGCGCCAGGGTCACTGCAGCTCCTGCTGGCGGGGTACAGTACAGGCAAAGATGCACAGCAAGCGTCTCGCTTCAGTGTATCCCGGTGAATCCAAATGGACTTTCGCTTCTCGTCTGAAGCGATTGCTACTGCGTCTGCTGCTTCCGCAGCTGTTGTTGCTGCAGTGACTGCTGCAGCCGATACAGCTAGTGTTCCTCCACATTTCAGTGGACTGCGAAGGAGGGTGGAGACCACGTGTTTATTGCAACCGCTAAACGGAGTGGGTGAGTGAAGTTGCCTTCGTAGTAAACAGGAATGCGGAAAGAACAGGGAACAGCAAATATAATGAATTCCGATCGGCTGCGAAGCTTCGCCAAGCGGGCACAGTTCATATTTGAGAAGAGCTTTGCTCAGCACAGCCGATTTGTTCGCCCGTTTAGGGTTTAGGGTTTAGGGTTTAGGGTTTATAGCGGCGAGTTGCACCCTCCTAACAACCGTAGATCCTTCACTCCCTGAACTGCGACACAATGTATGAAGGGAACTCGATACAGGGCAGCAACGGCAATCTGCAGGGATACAGGCAGTAGCCGCGGCGAAACCCAAGCCAACAGACAGATCCATTATACTAGCATCCAGCGCGCGCAGCTTTCTATTTCCTGCTGCTTACACGCTGCTGCTGCTACTGCTTCTGGGGGTGCCGTAGCAGCAACTGCAACAGCTGCACAAGACGTCTTCAAGAGCAATAAGGTGGGGTAGCCGCAGCATCAAGTGGTTCACNAACTGCAACAGCTGCACAAGACGTCTTCAAGAGCAATAAGGTGGGGTAGCCGCAGCATCAAGTGGTTCACCAGGCAGTGAGTGTAATGCCAGCCACGCAGAAACAGAAACCCCAAAATGTACAGCGAATATAAACCAAATTTGACGATAGACAGGGATAAGTACTAGTCCGTTTCTGGTGCTGCTGCTGCTCTAACTGACCCTGGCAGCCCTAGGTTAGCAGAGACACTCGCGGCATACACTGTCTCGCTGGCGTCATATGGTTCTTTTTTAAATGCATGTATCTCAGCTTTGTGAAAAATAGATTCTGAGCCGCCGCCTGCAAGCATCTGCCCGCGAGTGGGGGTTCCGGCCATATCCGCCGAGCGGGCCCAGAACAAGAGGAAGTAAAGGAATCGTCGTCGACGGAGCCGAGCTAGCAATAGGTAGAGGAAATAGCACAGATCACAGCGAGAGGAAAAATTTCTGGGGCTGGAGAGCCCGTTGCTGGGTAGCTAGAGCCTGCCCCTCTCGAGCTTCATCTTCGATGCATCTGTAAACCTACTGCTGTTGGGCGCTCGACGCACGAGGGCTTGGGCTGCTTCGGAAAGCTGTGAAGGGAGAAAAGTGCAGCCTTCTAGGTAGCCGGTGCGTGCATCGATCATTCATGTATTTTTGCTACTGAGAGGCAAAATATGTTTTCTGTTTTCTACCGCGTTAGTGCACTGACGACGCACACTACCAAGCTGTTCATCGAGCAGGAGAGAAGAGCAACTCGACTCATGGTGTATTCAATATAACGTCATTTATAGATGAAGTAATGCCATATGCAGCGTTGCCTTGAAGCTACAAATCAGAGAGCTACCCAGAAAGGAAGCGAGGGGAACCTGAGACATTGGGGGAGAATCTGCGGCCAAACCTCTGCGTATTATGTGAGTGTATATGTGTATTTAATTCTTTTTTTTTTGTAGGCTTTAAGGCAAAGCCTACCCTCAGAACCCCGCTACCACCATACCGCACACGAACACAAATACAG